TTACAACAATAATTATGTCAAATATTTTATGTTATAACAACCCCAAATAAATTAAATATCTATTTTTTGAACTTATTTACTCCACATGTAATCCATAGTAAAAATTTTATGTGTAACTTTCAAATTACACCGATGAATAATTCTTTATAAAATTATTTTCAATACCAATATTTTTCAAACAATATAATCACGAATATTTACTAAAATATGGATTCTTTATAAATGATTTGTTCTTAAATTAATTAAGAAGGATATTTTAATATCAAATTTCGATTGTCAATTATTGAAAAAAACTTATTTTGCAGCATTAGCATATCCATAAACAAAATCAATGTACAATAATTATGCACTATTGGCATTTAACTAAGATATTTTCTTTATATTATTTATCGCTATTTTGATAATATTTTTAATTATTTATTTAAATTATAAATTCAAATGAATAATTTATGAGTTAGTAGAAACGTAAATTATTAAATTAGAAACTATAATTTTAATCACATTATTATAAATCTTTTATAACATTTTATATTTGATTCATTATTTATTTAATAAAATTAAGACATATTAGAGTTGTTTTTATATTGCATTTACAACGTTGACTTATTGAGATTTTACATTTATTTTATTTTTAGTATTAATTTGTCGTATTTTAATATAATTTTTTAAGTCTTATTTATAATTAATATAATGATAATATTGAAAATAATAACGAAATTTTTCTTTTAATAAATAAACCGATTTTATTATATCAATGGTTCTTTACTAATTATCAGTTGTATATCCTAAATGCGGACTGTACCAAATATTTAATTTTATACATGTAATTTCCTAAATCAGATAAATTAAGTCGCAGAACGGTTGCAATCATAATTGATTGATAATTATACTTATATTTGATTAGATCTTGAAATTGTTCCCGAATGAAATCCGACCTAACTTTCTAATGTCATCTTTCACTCACCCTTTCTCCAGTCGCTCATTTACTAGTATATATATATATATATATATATATATATATATATATATATATATATATTTAGGACATTTGCTTTTTAATAAAATTAATCATTGATAAAGCTCTTTCGTCATTGGACACTATAAAAATTGTTGATTCAAATTACTTATGAACTAGTCACAATTTTCATAAATAAATTTATAATAAATCGATGTGGTTTTATTTTATCTCATTTTAGCAAAAAAATTTTCAACAAGCAATTTACAATAAAAGTAAAAATTATACATTCATTAAATATTTACAAAATCTACAATATTTTAGTTCATATTTCAAATGAACGATTTTTCTAAAGTATTTGTTGAAAAATATAACAAATATTACATAAGCTACATAAAAAGTAATTATACATAATAAATATCATCTTATCGATGTCATTTTTCTTCCATAATTTTTGTGGCGATTAATTTTATAAAATTAAATCATTTATATAATAATTTGTACATGATTAAAATCGACGAAAGTAAATGTTACACATATACATTTATACGTATTTTATTATTTTAATTAATGAATATATAAATTATAATATATAATTTTTGCAGTTTTATATTTTAACACATAATTTAATGATTAAAATAATTATTTTCTTCGGTAATTTTATGTGTATTCGGAAATTATATTTTATGTCTACGTCACAAAAATTTTAATTCTAATCTGTGTGTAACTGGATTCTCAATAGTTATAAAAATACAAGTAGAAATAAAAAAAGATCTTTATATAGATTAGGTTTTATTTATATATAGAAAGATATTTATATATTAATTATTAAAAATATTTTCTCAGTAAAACATAATGATTAACATATTTTATGAATGTATGGATATAAAAAACAAAAAAATATTGCCTGACGATAAGAAAAGTAGGAAGCTTTCGTAGATTAACAAGAAACGTGGGAGATATATCATGACATTTATTGTGTCGAAGGAAGGGGGTTTTAAGTTAATGCCGGCCGCGTTATCGTAGCGCTGCTTTTAAGATTTTGCACCGGAATTAAAGGAATTTTATCACCTGGTGGTTAATGACTCACTCAGGCAAAATAAGTTACTCTAAACCCGACGATTACTTTACTGTTTCTCTCTTTATAAATCATAACAAAAATTGTTTCAATGCTCATGAAGATACATTTTTTGTAAATTGTTAGGTCATTTATTACAGCTAGTCAATATATGATTATAAGTACAGATTACAGATTATAAGTATATTTAAATTTAGTTCGATAATCTTATTTATATTGACAATCACTTTATTTGAATTACTATATTATTAATAGTTAATAGTGATAGAACAAATTAGATCAATATTTCCAATATGCTGTTAATTTAGTTTAAAAAATGTATATTAGTCTTATCTTTCTTTTTTCTTAATATTTCCTTAATAATATTTCATTTATTTCACATTAAGCTACCAAAGTACAGATTCATTACGAATTATTTTCAATAATATTATTAGAATTTTTTTTAATTCAAATTAAAAGTAGGATACCAATTTATATTGAAAATGTTTACATTCAAAATGTTTGCTAAATTTACACGTAATCCAATAATCGAATATTAATATAACTTTTAACTTAATAGAAACTTAATACAAATAATTTCATGTATTGCTATTAGTGACATAGATAAGTAAAATTTCTAAATTTTTTTTATAGACAATATATTGATTAATATTTTGATTTTTCTTTACTGTATGATTACAAATATATATGCTATTTCTCATTACTCATTAATTATAAAAATATCGGTATTAAATAATATAATAATAATATCATAACATTAAATAAAAATTATATTTTAAACTTTTGAGTTTGAATATACAGTTTATTGATATAGTATATGCCGTGAATAATAATATTAAAGTATAATATTCAAGCACAATTCAAAACATAAATGAAAAATTGCAAATAGATAGTTTCAAACTGAAAATGTATAAAGTACATGTTTTTCTTCGATTTCATTTGATGTACAAGTTCACATATTATTTATATTTATGAAATCTTTTTTACTTCCTAAATATTATATCATCTATTTAATTTTCATTCTCTTTTATTTTTGTTTCAGTAATATCAATATCATATAAGTTACATATCTTAAAACATATCAGAGGCTAATCGTTAAGAAAATCACATTTCGAATTGAAGAAGACTGACTTGATTGATGGTAAGTCCTTTCACCTATCCATTTTTATTGATATTAAGGATTAGAAGATTAAATTATATTCATTTGCACTGGCGTAAAGACATCATAGACCTTAAGCTTTTTTGTAAAACGTCATTAGAATGTTTAACAGTCTTAGTTTATTTTATATAATGTGCTTGAGAAACATCAAATATCAATTATTATTGATAATTTGCCTACTAAATATCACCAACTAAAGATACGCTCTGGAAAATAACTCGGTAAGTTCGAATGGAGCATCATTAGTCCTTTTAATGGTATAGGGGTAGATAACCAAAAATAAATCGTATAAAGATGGTTTAAAGAGGCTATTTTGCAATCTCATTCATTTTTGCGATCCCACCATTATCACGGTAAAATGAATCTCTCAGCGCACTTGAGTTGAATTGGGATCGCACGTTGACGTCATACTACCTCCGTCCTATCTCCTCAAAGTAGTTAGGTCGTTGGGCGCAATCAAACCCGGAGAGTTATCGTGGGAGAAAGCGAATCACTCACAAGAACAATAAGTAACGACTTAAGGAGTGGGAGTTCGATCCACTTCGCACTTGACGTCGGATTTGAGCTTTTGGGGATCCGCTCACCCCGACACGATAACCCACTTGTGCTCCTGTGCCTGTCGTGGCTCTTTATACATCAAAATTTAACAGATGGTGTACATATTACACGACTTTCTCAAATTGGACCATTTAAAGTACGAATTACGACAAAAACTATTTGTCTTATGCTATGTATCTTACTTTATTGCAATGACTTTCTGCGCTTTATGGAATTCACAATTGTTCATTTTAAATCTTTCAAAATGAAAAAAAAAAAAAAAAAAAAAATAAAATATAGCTGTAACAAACTTTTAGTAAGTTTTAATTTAACATTCTACGTATTATATTTCGTTTTACTGCTCAAAATGCTATCGTTTCGATAAGTTTTATTCGCCAAACATTTAAAATGTTTCTTATAGTTTCTTAAAGTTTATTTTTCCCCGAACTTTTCTCAATGATTTCGAAAAATAAAAGGATTTAATTAGTGATTCCTTTTCATCATTTTATGCATTTTATCACGATATTTGAGGCAGATTTATTGATTAAAATAAAAGTTCGATTCGACTAATGCTAAGGGAAATAATTGGGAAGTATGAAATATAAATTATCTTTCAGTAATAACTTTTTACGATGCTACAATTAATCTCTTAAATTATTTTTTATTATAGGTTAAAAACGTAATATTTCAGTACGTAATATTATACAATCTAATGTAATGTAATGTAATGTAATGTTTAGACAACATTAAAATTATTAACTTATGAACTCTAAAACAGGAATTTAAAATTTACATTAATACAATTGTTTACATTATAAAACTAATTATTTTTTTAATTTCAAGTGTTAAATTTATTATTAATATATTTCTGTTATTATTTTATATTATAATATATTTAAATAAATAATGTGGACTTTGTCATATATCTCTTAAAAGGTGTTGTATTTCAAATTAACAAATACGAATATTATAATTAATAATCTTAAAAATGTAGTTAAGCTTAAGATGATACGATAATGGAATATTAAAAAGGAATGTAGAATATTTGGTTGATTCAATTTCATAAAGATTTGTATACTTTAAAAGGATGTGAATCGATATTACAAATTTATCCAGTTGCCACTATTTAATAATTTCTTTGTACATTACTAATTCATTCTTGAAGAATTATCTTTATTAAAGGGATATCGCGGCTAAAAATTTATTCATTTAGCTGCTACTATATACTGTATGAGCGGTAAAATGGATAGTCGAAGGAGGAAGCACAAATAATGAATGACAGAGATAGAGTTGTAAGTGTGACGAACGAAAGGGCCAGCAAAATATTCGGCCATTTAGTCCAAGGGCACATCAAGAAGAGCCTACGTTAAACCTCGTGTACGTTGCATTTGCAGAGAATGCACTTAGCCGAGATATGGACGAGTGTGATCCTGGTGCAGACGGGCACTCTCTTACTGGTCGGAGCTGAGTATCCGGGGATATTTCCCGGACAGCGGCAGCAGCACCGGAGCCGCGAGCTCAGCAACTACAGTGGGAAACGAGCTTCGGGGACGACGACGGAGCCAAGTTGCGAAGAGTTGCGTGCTATGTGGCGTTACAGCAAAAGGCAGAGCCGGGCTGCGGAGAGCAGTAACGAGCTCCCCGTATACCGCGACCCCTTCTCCTACAATCTCTGGGAGGCTTACCCCAGCCGCTCACCCTCGACTGGATACCGAGGTACACCAATGATCATGCCATTGCTTACCTTTCCCCCTTCAATAAATAAATTGCTTGCTCGATTATCAAGCTCGATTGTCACTCCCCCCCCCCACTCGCTCTCTCATCAGCTCGACTTTTTACCCTCGAATCCTAGTCTCGATTTATAGTCTCAGTCTCACATTGCCGACGTTCGTATTTGTCAAATAACTGCTCTTACTTTTATTCATGTATAAACTCACGATTGCTTAACCGTAGTACCCGTATTATGAGAGAAATTCAGGCCGATGTACAATTATTGTATGCCTACTCAAGAAACGTATTATTAACATAATATTATACCACTAGAGAACAATGCAAATTGAAAGTGGCACAACAATTAACGTTTGCTGCCAATTTCACCTAGACGGCAAATCCTTACATTCTTAAAGCTCGAATACAAACTCTTAGAAAGCTGATATGTATATTTATGAAATATCCCTTCGCTTCGTGCCGTATAATGTTACAATGCACTTTACAAACACGAAATAAACCTCGTAGGGGGCAAGATAGGGTGTTCCTATTTTAGCGAAAGACACTTTAACATGCCTCCAACAATAAGTATAATAATTTGTACATTAAATACGAGACGATGAAAGATATATTTTTCGCGCTTTGGACATTCTTAGGTAGCCAGAGCAAGTTTAGAGTCGAGCTGCGCTTGATTAGCTAGGATGGCATTTCGAGATTAGTAGGGCAAATAAGAGTCGAATGGCCGCGTTGCAGATGAGTACGCGGGTCCAGCGAGGAGTCGTGGCGCTGGCGGGGTTCCGATCTACGGGAAGCTCGTGCACAAGGCCCCAGCCGGGAGCCGGCTACGCAATGGCATGCCCGAGCGGGCCCGGGCCTTCGAGGAAGTGGCTCGACTCTACGGGACTGTCAATCGACATCCGCCCTCCCAGCGCCGCAGGCTCACCAGCTTCCGCGTAGCTGGTGGTGGCGGTGGTGGCGGCAGCAGTGGCGGTCGCGGACACATCGCCGAGAACAACGAGGAGAACGATCTTGATGCCAGTGTGCCCCAAACCGGCAGTTTCCAGCATCTCAAGGAGCTCATACTTACGGAGCGCGCGCGCGAGCTACAGGTGAGCTGGTTTCATTCCTTTGCTCGACTTTTTGTCTCGTAACGCGATACATCCTACGCAGTTACATCCATCTTCCTTTCCCGTTTAAACTTGGTAAGTTAATTCAAAGATTTTTTTCTTGTTTTTCTTTTTATTTTTTTCTTTAAGAAGAGGGCCATTTCATGAAACAAGCCGATTGTACTTTAGACCAGTGCAATCACTGCATTTTGTAAGGATTTTTCTGCGTGTGCATAGATTTTAGAGAAATATCGACTTTTAGAGAAAATATTAAAATTGTATAACGAATGAGAGTAACTCATTATTCATCAGTTTTATATGATTTTTTACAAGTTCTTGTTACAGATATTTGAAAAGTCTAAAAATCTCGTTGTTCTTCGATGTCAGTATCGCGCTTAATTTGTTCGTTATGAACTTTTCCTACAAAACCTAATAAGTTTCAGCTATGCGTATTCTAGAAAATAATAATCATTGTAGTTTCTACAAATGGGTAAATTGCTTTACTTTCCTTAATTGTATCCAGATTCTTATCTACATCAAATATTGCTCATTAAAAAATTATTACAAACGTTCCTGATGATCAACAACTATTCAAAATTTTACTTTACATAAATTAATGATTATATCTTTGTTTTAATTTATACTCCACAAGCAATATTTCATATGAGCCTAACATTATGATTAAATTAAAAAATTTAATTGCCTAAGTTTGGTATGTTGTACAAATCTTGAGAAAGATGGTTCAATTCGCATAAATAAGTATGAAATAATAGTAGCAATGTTCGCTTCTCCGATCCTCCGACGTTTTATAAACTATATTTTTAGAATGATTTTTAAAATATACTATATTAATAAAAAATATATTGAACGTTTCATCAATCTATTCAATTATTTTAATTTTTTGGAAAAAGAATATTAGGCAAATTGATTAATAATATTAGAAGAATTAATCATTTTTTCTGTCACACCATAGGGCATATTTCTATTTGTTTGTTAATTAAAATATTTGAAAAGTAATTAATACAAAATTATTAATAATTTTAATATGATGAATGTATATATATATATATATATATATATATATATATATATATATCACGAACATAATAGCTGGGCATTGAATGAAATATAAATAGTTTCAGCACTTTAAAAGTTTCATATAAAAAAAGTACAAATAAGCAATAATATCGATGAACTTTAAAAGTTAATAAATTCTAATATGTTGCCGACTCATTCCGCGCCTAAACTTTGAAGGAAATACTTATCTAAATAACACGAATATCGATTAAATTTAATTAATAATCATCAAATTCATTTTTGCCGAATTGCCGAATAAGCGATGTGATATATAAAACTGTAATAATTTTAAACAAAAATTGAAATTCGCACATTCGCGTTAACAATTGCTTTATCTGCAGTGTTATTTCACTAACATTATTTCTAAAAATTTGTAAATATTTAATGTAATTTTATTTAATGTAAATTTAAAAAAAAAAAAAAATGCTTTACAGGCATGATGGTAATTGCAGTGCTATTGAATAATTTTCAGTCCCTTTTCTGCATCTCTTTTCAAATTATTATCGTGACAATTACGATCGTTGTTTATACTTTTGAAGATATTGCAGAGCCTTCGCTGATTACTGATTAGAAAATATTATATGCAAGTTTCGGAAAACTTCTGAATAATACCATGTTAACAAGAATAAAAATATTTGCATGTAAACTTTTTAACCATTAGACCTTTGATGTCAACCACATTATTTCTAACAAAAAACTGTTCAGGTTATCTTATACAATGCTTCGTCCATATTTCACATAACCCATAGACCTGTTATTTTACTTATTTTTCTCTTTTAACATTATCATCTATGAATAAAATAATTCTGCCTTCTATTTGTTTAATTTTAATTGATTTACTTTGTAATACGATTGGAAATATGATGATGTATTTATCAAAATTAATGTAGGTTATAAATATTATGCAAATAATTTAATATTTTAATGTCAAATATTTTAATGTTTCAACATTTTTCGGACGACGTAGCGTACGCGAAGATAGTTTTAGCCCAACATATATCACATTAATATTATCAGAAGATCGTTAACAACAATTCGTATTGAATACAATTATCATCTAAGTGAATGTTTGATAATAAAAATTTTATCGATAATTTGAAGTACTCTTCTCCTGAATCCTTATTTTAAAAAATGAAAATGATATTGGCCATTCGAACGATTTCTAGTCTGTATTAAAAATATAGAATTTTTTTATTTTATAAGATTAATTTTCTAATAGATATAAATTCACATTTAAATTATAATAGATGCAAAAATAACAAAAGTAACACAAATAATGAATAATTAAAGGGATGTCCAAGTGACGACAAGCGACGCTTGAGCGTCTGTAAAACAAATGTAGCACACTTATTTATTTTTTTTTTTATATTGCTGAGTTCTCATATCTATCGTTATAGACAATTTACAATTTGCGAGTACTGATTCTTGCAATGTGCTCATTAAAAATAAGCGGGTGTTATATGGCAATAGTGAAACATCGTATTGGAGTTTGTGGCTCGTAATGTGAATCGTCGTACATGTAATTCGAAAATAATTTTATTTTTATAAGAATATCTAAGATCGTTAAAAGGAGATTATAAATTATAGAATGCGTGACCCTTTTGTATAGTTTGATACATGAATTTATAATTTAACCGAAGTTTTTATATTTGAAATTTAATCGAATACTCCTTTAGTATAAATGTTCATCCAAGTATTATTATATTCTTTCTTTCTCTTTATGTAAAATTAAATACTTGATGACATATCTTACATCTTTTAAAAATTTAAGAAATAAGATTTTATTTTTTTCCATGAAATTTTCAATCAAAATAGTCAATGTTTTATATAAAAGACAGGGTATTCAAAAGCCTGCACTCCATAATATTAAAATAAAATTATTAATCTCATTATTTAACTATAAGCTAATTTAATTGATAATACAAGCGCGTTAATCAATTGAATTTAATCATTAATTAAATAAACTAATGAAACATTTTATTAGCAATTTATAAAATATTATGTTGAATTATAATATAGAAATATAATGTATTTAAATTGAAATCTTAAATGGAAGATATATTGGCTTCCTGAAATGTAATTTTTAATTTACAATAACCACACATTCTTCAAGCAGTTCTATAAGCTTTAGGATAATGTACATAGGTAAGCTTAATCGTAAAGCAAAGTAGATAAGGAAGTTGTTAATCGGGCTCTCAAAGTAAGTCCCAAAATCCAATGGCTCATCCCGATGTGCAAATAAAATCCCGAGTGGGAAATAAAAGTAATCAACAATTGGTTCATACCAACTGGTGTACGATCGCTCTCTTGAAAATAAAAGACTCATCGTTCATATTGTCTATGCACTGCGTTTCCGACTTCCTTGAAAAGGAGTCAGTGTTATGTAGATGTGTGCGCCTTTAGATGTATGTGCGCGGCCGCGCGCGCTCGTATAAAGTATAAAGGAGAGAGTCGAAAGCTCGCTACGAACGGCTATGACGTCAATCACCAATACTAACGTGCAACGCGGCTAACCTTAAAACATTGCTCCTCATTTCCATTCGTTATTCTTCCAACTCTTTTTCATAACTTCCTTGCGAGTGGTTTGCCATTCGCTGCTTCTATGAAACGCAATTACTAATTAACGCTTCTCTCGTTTCCTTGACAGTCGATATCATTTTCTTTTACTTAACGTATCAAATACTGTCTATAAGAGAAATTTTTTCGATTATTTACCGACGTTTAAGGTAAATTTTTACGGAATACTATGGTAGAAATTTCGGAATAATTATTTTCTACTATGTACACTTTTTTTATAAATTGTCAATGTCATTTCCTTAAGATGAGGATTTACTCAATAAATTGTTCTGAACATTTGTATTTCTCTTATTTAAGATTGGTTATTGTATGGCAATCATACTTTCAGTGAATAATACTTGTGTGAAATAAATCAGTATTTTTTCGTAGAAAAATATAATATACTTAACGGGGAAATTTACTAATTCTATTGTTTTTAATGATACCATTTATTATTAATTTAATACGATGCGTTTACTACTCTACTCACGCATGCTAGAAACAAAAATAATTTTTCATATATAACACAAATAGGTATAATAGTATGAAAAATATATTTTTTTAAGTTAAAAAAAATTCTATATATCAAATTTTTATTCTTTATTTTATGAAATATTGGAATCGTAAGAAATTAAAAAAAAAAAAAAAAAATACATTGTAGCAGAGGAGAGTGTATCTCTTTCATTACGGTTTAAGGATTTTGTCATATTCACATAAACAATATCAATTACTTGTTACGAAATAAATTTTAATGAGTCATAAATGAATAATAACCGTAGGGTCTACTAAATTTAAATTAAACAGTTAAAATATTGCAATTACACAGTCAAAGCACAACGTTGAAATTTTATATAGATGATTTCATTGAGATGCTCTATTATTAGTTTAAAAGTTAATTTTCATTGTTCTTAACAGCTATGAGCTTTATATATTAAGATCTGAAAATACCGCAATATTACTGAAAATCAGAAGTCAAGAAGAAAAAAATTATATCTGATTAAAATGTAATAAATACTTTTATAGTTACTATTTGTCATTTAAATACAATGTTATGTTATTATCTTTTGTCTAAAACTAATTTTCATTTTTTTTTTTTTAAATAATTTTTTACGTTATCTTAATCAATATTTTTAGGTTAATATTTTCATAATAATTGAGATGCATCAGAAAACCCATGTAGCTCTAGGGATGAGGTGTGAGGTTGCTTCTTATATTGAGCTAACGTGGTATTGAGATATTGTTGTCAAGTTAGTGAGATGCCTTCTGATGATTAGCCATTGTGATGACAGCTGAGATGACAGCGTGTCGTCCCATTGGAGCTTGTGTAACCACAATTTCTGCATGAATATCTTTGCCTTGATCACGACAGGTGAAACAGAACCTAATGGATCAAATATCTAAGCCACTTCAGATAAAATGAGGCGTTTAATAAGGTTATCAATTTCCACAGATATCTCTCCTCTCGCGAATTTGAATATGTCTCGTTGCGGATCCAAATTAATACGTCTGATATGTCTGGATTCAGATTGGGTCCAGTGTACATAATGTTGTTGATTGACAGACCTGATGTTGATGTGCTGGAGCCATTGAATACCACTTTAACTTGGCTGTCAGGCTATTTGGTTTGAGCATACTGCGATGCGGCAGATAATATTAAAATCGATAATTGGACACTGAAGAAGCCTTCCATTTTTCTAAGAATTTATATTTCTAAGAATTTTCTCAATAGACTCTGTAAGCAGCGATGAGCAGTGTTGAAAGTGTTTCCGAGACAGTTGGCGTATGTGATTAGAAGAATCCGAACGACATACCTCCCGGTTGAGTCACGTGCGTATATATTCTTGAAATGTTCTTCACGCTGTTGTCCCTCGGGTGTATATTTATTAATGTCACTTGATTGTATTTCTTCCTGAACCCAAAATATCGTCAGTAATTCTGATAATGTATGTTCGGCATCCTGTCTTGGTGCATGGGGTGCCGTGGACCTCGAAGATCTTATGGAGTTGACAGATCCTAGCACGAACCATCCAAAATTGGATAGTTGCACCATTGGCATGGATGGAGAACAAGTGATGACGTGGAGCTTGAGGATCTGCCTATACATGTCTGCTCCAAGAATAATGTCTATTGATTGATCTGTAAAATATTGCGAATCGGCCAATGTTTAGTTTTTCAAATGTAGCGAATCGTGCGAAGTTGGTTTGAACGAAGGAATCACCGATGTCAATGTCTTAAGAATGTGAGTCTATATGGTGATTATGGAGTTCGAGTGGATTGAACGGAGAGCGAATGACACAACACCTTGTGCCATAGTTAATTGAGCTCCCCAAATTTCATGAATGTAAATGAATGTTTTCGAGAACTGTTGAGTTGTCGGATGAGATTTTCGTTGACTAATGAAATTTCAGAGCCTGTATCTTATTTAAAAAAAAAGTATTTATGTATTACATGGTAATATATCATTTAAGGCCATATTTTTAAATTATTGTATAACAATCTTCTTGAGGAAATATGTTCAATATTATTTGCTACATAATAGGGAATATATAAATAAGTAAAGAATATAAATTCATGAATATTCTTAGAGAAATACATCATACTTAAAATGAAAATTATGAAGGCTTTAATCAATTTGATGGTTAATTTGTTTTTCAGGAGCAACGTAGAGTGGAGGAAATGGCAGCGCGTGCAGCTGTTTTAAAAGAAATGACTTCGGGCAATCGACAGGGCACCAACGTACGTGAATCACGAAACTCGAATTTACTTAGTTCCGTGAAAAGATATGAAGATCCAATTAATTATAACTTTGCCGATACACAATATACGGCTGATGTTGCAGGCAATGGTCCAGCATTGTCGGTAAGTTGCTGCTTTTCATCTTAAGAGAATTATGTGAGAAATTTATTACTATATTTCATGAAATCAATGCATTATTTTACAATAATAGACTATTAATAAAATTCATTTCTATATTAACATTATAATTAAGTTAACAACAATAATTATTTATTTATTCACATTGTCCATATGGCTATAGTGATTATAAATAATATCTCAATATAAAAGAAGAAGAATAATATTAATTTTAACACCGTGCATGGATATAAATTTTAGTTTATTTCTATTTACTATTGAGATAAATATTCACTATTGATATATACCAAGGTACCTTTAATTAATAATTAAAAATGACAACATAATGCTTTTTTCATAAATAAAGTCATTGTAATGCTTAGAATTTATAATAATATAAAATATTGGCATTTACTTATACGTAAAATGTTCATATATAAATGCATTTGTTAATTCGATAATATTCATAGTATTAATTTTAAAGTTTGATTAACCGAATGATTGTAAATGTTATTATATTAATATAATAGTTACGTTCTTTATAAAATAGCTTTTACTTATAAGATATAATCTTAATACGAGGCTTATTTATCACAAAATATTAGAACTGTTTTGTATTTATATATTAAAAAAAAAAAGATACCTTATTTATAAAATCAAATAAATATTAAACAAAACTATATTAAACAAATACTCTTATAGATTATCTGAATAGTAAGGCGTTTCTATGTTTTTTGTCTATATAATATAAATATTAATATATACCTGAAATCAATACAAAAAAAATTTGTAGAATAACAAATTTTACATTGCAATCTGATATAATCGAAATATTTCTATTAAATAGAATTATTAAAAAAAAAATAAAATAAAATTAAAAAAAAAAAAAATAATAATAATAATAATAATAATAATAAACATTTCATATCTGTTGATGTATGGACAATTTCTTTGAAATATATACATTAGTTTATATTACAAAGTTTATAATAAATTTCGCGAATTTCCGATACAAACAAGTTATAATAATAAAGATGAGTTATATTAGATTATTAATCCATGACATGGAAAAGAGCGAAAAAAAATTTGTATATAAGATTATCTCTACTTTATGACACGAAAACAGTTAGCTTGTAGACGTATAAGAAATGATGTATTTAACCTGTTCCAAGTAAACGTAATAGAAATATCTCTCGATGCTTCCGTAAAAAAAAAGCCAAAGAAATATTTTACGGTAAGAAGTACCACACACTATTATCAATTAGTATCCTGATATCGCAGTCTTAAGCAATTAATTTCTTTTTTCATTTCTATCTATTTACATACAAACATATATCATTGTTATCTTAGGCAGGAGAACACTATGGCCAGGAGTATATGCTACGTTAAGCTTATAAAATTGAGACGAAAAACGAAGGAGAAGAAACCAAGAATTGATCGAAGAAAGAAGCTTAAGGACGGGACTTTAGTCGAGGAATAAATTACTTTCATTTTTCTCTTCTTTTCGCGACTAAAAATGCATGCATGAAAAAACATTTTTTTTTCAACACACGCGTGCATGCACGCACGCACACACACACGTACACGTGTTCACTCATAGTCACATCTATACACGTATGCAACACTTATGGAAATGCGAAAAGACAAAGAATGAAAAGAAATAAAAGAAAAATAGACAGCTACGTAAAGACACGTACACAAATGCATCAACGTATAACCACAATGATGCATTAGAAAGTGCAGATAAAAACATTATTTACTCTTAATGTTACCAGTTTTCTCATATGACTGAAAAATTATATTACATCCAAAAAAGAAAAGTAAAGAGAGCGACTTGAATAGAGAAAAATTACGACTTAAAACATTAAAACAATAGAGGGGCATTTCCCGATGATCTTGAAAATACTTGTACATCCAATTAAAACGGGAACATTAATATGATGATGAAATTATTCTTTTAACATATTGACACGTTATAAATGAAAATTTTTATCTTCATATCATATCCATAAAAAAAAAAAAAAAAAAAAAAAAAAAAAAAAAAAAAAAAAAAAAAAAGAAAAATTTGAACTTTTCTTCCTATAATCATTATTATAGCTCCGTTAAGCCTCGATGTCGGCTCCTCACATATCGAGTTTACAATAATTAAGAACTTACTGTTTAAGAAATAAAAATGGCATTTAATAAATAATCATTAGTTATAATTCAATGTATTATGGTATGATTTAAAATCAAATGAGTAACAATAAATTCATGATTATGCATTAGATTTTATAAAAAAAAAAAAAAAAAAAAAAAAAAAAAAAAAAAAAAAAAAAAAAAAGACAAAATATAATTGTACAAATCCACTCTCTCAACTATATACGTTATTCATATTTGCATTATTTAAATTAATTATTTCTTAAAATGCCATTTATATTTTGGCTTAATTTATCATATATTTGGTACGCAAATACAATTTTTTAATGTGTACCTAAAAATCTGCGAGCTTATTCAAATGCAGGTGAGAGTGAATATTTTATATATCACTAGATTTCTTTCGAATGCTCTCACATTATACAATTATGTGAGAGAAAAAAAAAAGATTTTTTACATTTTCTTTCTGTATATTATATCCTTGATTTGATTCGTAAAACATTTATATTTTTAAATAATTATTATAATACAATTTGATAATAATTAAATATTATCCGTTACAATCTAATAAATCAATTATCAAAGATATATATTTTGGTAGGCTAATTATACTACTCAAATATTTATATAACCTATTACTTGAAATATTTAGTAATATCACTTTAATGAAACGAAGATCTTAAACACAACAAAGTATTAAAAATTTATTTAAATCCATTAAAAATTAAAAATTAATTTTATAATGTAATAAAATAGAAAAAAAATTTAATTAATATATGATAGACGAATTTGTTTTTTATTTTTTTGTCATGGAATATTTATTAATTGAAATAATCGATATTTTATAGAAGAAAATTACGTTTCACCATTATTTAATATTCTGATTTAAGATTCATTTTTAGAATATAAAATTTGTAAAATTTTACCATTTTTTTTGTGCTTACAAGTAGTTTTGAAAATTTTATTAAAACAAATTATCACCCTTACTCATTCATTCTCTTAATTTAACTAAGTCTGTACGCTGTTTATATAGAAAATTAATGATGAAAATGATCAGTAAAATTTTCATACTTTAATATATAAATAAGTTAAATTTTACTGCACCTACAGATTTAAATTTCCAAATTAAAGGTGAACAAAATTATTTAAATGATATTAAGCATATGAGATATTTATATATTGAAAAAAAATTTTCTTCTTTATTTAAACAATCATTACAGTAATTTTAAATAAGAAATATTTTTTACTAAAATAATATATTTTCTTTTTCATATAATATTAAATAAGAATAGTTAGACATTAAAAAAATGCAATTTTAAATATTTTAAAATTTGAATAAAAATTAAGAGAAATATTCTCTATTCATTAATCAGATGACAGTTTTCACCTAATGTAATGTTGAATATATATCTTTTTTATAAAAAGAATATAACATAATGTAAATTTAAGTAAAGAAATGTATTTCATTCCTGATGTACAGTACAATTTTTTGCTTTAAAAATGGTTCTTAAGCAAAAAATAAATATTGCACATGCTGTGTTCGCAGGTAGAACCAAAATATATGAATAACAAGACAATAATATGATTTTTTATCAAAAAACGTAGATAATATATTCATATAAGTTTGTATATGTAAAGCTGTTACATGCAATTTTAATTATTTTTAATGAAAAAATGTCATGACTTAAAATTTTGGACAATAATTCATTCTTAATTAAATTTTTTAACTAAAAAATGTAAGAAAAATATAGTAATGAAAGAAAATAATGAAATAATGACTGCAAGAAGATAAACGATAAGTTATTAGCGCGACAAATTTATTAGCTAAGATGTGAAGCAAATTTTTTACTCATGACAATAAAAATAATTTCTAAAATATATTGAAATTTCATGTATAGTATGAAGTGCGCTATGCTTTACGTTCTTCTTCAATAGCTAAAAAGTCAAATTTTAAACGCTGTAAGAACAATCGTAATATAAGTAAATGACTAATATACTTATAATACATATATATATATATATATATGCAGTTATGTTTAAAGTAGATATTTTTCAATATTAATTAAGACGATGGTTTCGATATAAAATTATTCTTGCAAAAATCTAAAACAGATAAATGAAATGAAAAAATAAAAAAAAAATTATTATGACTGAGAGCGAGCAAATAACTAAATGAAACTATCATTGCTCTTTCTCAGACTCTTATTAATTACAACCTATATATACAAATGTACTGATAAAAAAAAATCTAGCATTTTGGGTCAGTTATAAATCAATAATTTTTTTCCGTTCCTCTGGTTTTTATTCATGTAATTTCAAAGGCATTAAATGAATATTCAGTACCCATTGTTTAAAGATTAACACTTTCCCAATGTCTCGATACTTAAAATAGAATAGACAAATCATCGAAATATGTATAATCGATTATATTACATTACTATAATAATATATTAATTATGTAAATTTATTTAAACAATAATTTACAAAAAAAAAAAAAAAAACTATATTTGACATCCTGTCTGCTTTAATATTGATTTTCTAAAGAATAAATAAGTTTTGATCAACGAATAAAATTTATTTCATTATAATTATATCGTATATAGGAGAATTAAGTATTTACAAATTAAAATTAAATTAGAAAAATCGAAAAGGTTAATAATGAACAAGTCAAATGAGAAATTAATGATGATTATTAATAAATTTACGTATTATAATAAGTTGAATATAGTTTTATATGAATATTGAAATAAAATAAAATTATAATTCTATAACGATTTATTTATTATTTGAAAAAAATAAACAACGACCTTCAGATAAATTAACTTTTATGATTATGATGACTTATGCTTGAGCGTGAAGTGTCTTGTTTCGCAATTTTTCAAATATTACATGTGTCAGACAATAACAGCTTGACAAACGCATTAAGGTCATAAAGAAGCCTGATTATAAGTATAATTATATTATATATCAAATTCTGTAGATGTAAATCGACAAAACACTCCGATGTGAATTGAACATTGTGCTAATTTTTCGAGAAAAGAACCTTTCAAATCATGTGAAAGAGTACGATAAAAGATAGTAACATTACATATAAGAAATAAATATATATCATGTGACTATAATGTTTAAGAAATTTAATGTTATAAGTCGACTATTCAAATTAAATGTAAAACAGAATATATTAACTTCGCGTTTGCGTCAATTAGGTTGACATTTACAAAGACTTCTTATAATTATCAAACTAAGTAATTAGTTATATATATATATATATATATATATATATATATATATGTGTGTGTGTGTGTGTGTGTGTGTGTGTGTGTAAAAATTTGCATATGTAATGCTGTATTTAAATACAAGCATTCATTTTTTCAAAAACATTATACTTAAATATGTTAAAATATTATTTTATTCTCTCATTCTTTAAAAAAACTAATATTATTATTTATTTTCATAATAATTTACATAAAATTTCATATATTAAGTAAGGTAAAATAAAAATAGGTAGTTCAACAGATGTTTCAGTTTTTTATTTTATATTTAATATATATCGTAAAAGAAATTTAGAGAAAATTAAAAATGTCGATATATTATTAAAAAAGTATTACTTGTTTTAATTGTTTTAAAACAAATATCTACATTTTACTTTTACCTTTTAAATATCTAATCATTTATTTATTCAAATATAATAAAGTAAATTTAATGAGTACACGTATGCAATATTATCTGGATTATAAGTAACTTTTGTAAATGACCTAAACATGTCTACTTTTAGCATGAATATGTTGTATGGTAATATTTACATAAATATGATATTTTATTAAACAAATATTAAAGCTAAGTGACATTAAAAATCGAAAATTTATAAATAAAGGTGATTAATAGATAATTAGTATAAAATAAATTATTGAAATATAATAAATTATAATATAGATAATAGCTATTAAACCATATTTAACTTAATATTTTATACTTTATCAATATTAAATGAAACAAAATTATACAAATTTTAAATTTGAAAGCATTCATATTATTTGAATAATGTAAATAAACTTCTCTTTAACTATTTTATTTGAGTGTAGCAAATATTTTAATTATGCAATTTTTATTTCATTTAACAATGTTATTTTGTAGAATTGAAAAACAATCTTATATTATAAGATAGTCTCATATTTAAATTTATCTAACGTAAATGAAAGTTTTGTGTTAATATACGATAAATAAAATATATATTATAGATAATTTATGCAGACTATTTTTTATAATATAAATAAATTTACTAATTTCAAATATCGTTATTATAATATGCTAATAATTTGAGAATACATGTAAATTGATGTAATTTTTTTTTTTTTTTTTCATAATCTAACGATAATTTAAGTGCGTTATTTCGATTATTAAATATAAATATC